GCACTTGTTCTAAGACTTGGCCAAATAGGTTAGGGGAGTCAGTGAAACCCTGTCTTTCCACAAGGACAGACGGCCTGTCCATCTGTATTGTTGCTTTCTCCCTGTCTGAGGGTCCTCCCATTCAAAGGCAAAATGTCCTTACTATCTTCCATTAGGGCGCAGACCCAGAATGCACCTTTGAAGCTTACAATGCTAACCCATTGATGATCTGGAGGTATTTTACTGAGGAGACTGTAGGGGTTTGGGACGACTGGGTGCTTGCTGTGAATCATCCAGTCAATGTCCCGGCTGTCCTCTATTAGCTGATAAGATCCATCTGACTTCCTAACTGGCAGGATCGGGAAGGGGACATGCAGGGTTCCAAAAGGCCATCCTTTAATAACCCTTCAATTATGGGTTCAGGCCCAGCCTCCCAGGGGTTTGGGATATTGCTTCCTTCATATTGTCTCACCAGGGGTTGTCAGGTCAATATGAATTGGAGAATCTGTAGCCTTTCCCTGTTCCCATCCCCGGTCCAGATCACAGGGAGAATTTGGTCCTTAATTTGCACTGTCATCAAATTTAATGAAATCTTAAAATTCTTTTCTCTAACTTTTATTTCTATGCCCAGCTCAGACACTAAGTCTCTTCCTAGAAGATTGATCCCAGCCTCAGGTACAAAAAAGAGATTAATCCATGTTACCCAATCTTGGAATTTCACATTTGAAGAGAGGAACATGAAATTCCTCTCCCTTTAATCCAGAAATTGGGAGCCACCTTGAGGAGAGGGACAGGCCTATGGGACCATAGTAAGAGATGACCATGCTGCTCCAGAGTCAACCAAAAAGTTGATTTCTTTTTCTTTGGATCCTACTTTCAAATTTATTAAGGGCCCCTTGTAGGAACCATCCACATAAAAGAGCCCCTGATGCCCATTCTTCCTCAAAAGCCATAAGGGGAACTATTTTCTCCTCCTTCCTTCCCTCAGGACATTCTTGTTTGAAATGTCCTGGCTTCCCACACTGGAAGCATCTGTTCTTTTTCTTTCCCCCTGAACCCCATGAGTTTGGCCTTCCTTTCTGGGATTTCTGAGCAGGTTTCAGCCCAACTCTCTGAAAAGTATTTTTCTCCTGAGTGTTTTGTTTTTCCTCATAAACATTTAGGGCTTCTCTTAATAATTCCTCCAAACTTTTGTCCTTTCAGATTTCTATCTTTTGTAATTTCTTTGCAATATCTGGCCAACTATTGGTCACAAAGAGAAGTTTTAGCATTTCCTGTCCTGGGGGCGGGGGTTATCTAAATTTAACCCTGAATATTTTCTCACTTGGTCTTTAAGCCTGAGGTCCTTCGTCCTTTCCTTGTACAGCAAAGGTTTTGGGATTGGGGAACAGATTTCCCGATTCTTTTAATGATCATAGTTCTCAAATCCCCGTCTTCCTTCTGTTAGCAGAGTCATTATTATTCCAACGAGGGTCCTCCAGGGGAAATTTCCTGTCTGTGGGCTGAACCTCAGGGCCTGGTGGGTGCTCTCTTTCCCATGCAGCCACAGAAACTCTCCTGATCATAGCTCTTTCCTCCCCAGAAAATAAAACCCCCAAAATAGACACGAGTTCCACCAGGTGTAAATTTGTGGGCCTAGAAACTGATCAAGTTGATCTGCAACTCTGTGTGGGTCTTCTAAAAGGGGCTTTAATTCTGTCTTTCATTTTTGGACTTCTGTTCTAGTCAGCAGGCATCAACAAAAACAAGGTTTCTGCCTCCAGTTAGGACTTCTCCTAGTGGGTGAAAGGTCTGTGATTGCATTTTGGGTGACAGGGGAAAGGGGAGATTCTGAATATCCCTCTAACTGATAAAGAAACCCAGGGGAAAGATCTGAAGGCAAGCTTCCTCCCCCGGCCGGGCCCTGGTTTCACAGATGTGCTGGTATGCTGTAACCTTGAGGTAGTGTGATAAGTTGTAACCTCCTAGCAAGAGGCTAACTGCCACGTCTGCTTTTGTCCTTCCCACTTGCTTGCTTCTGCATACTGAGGCATAAAAACTCCACAGCCTCGAGCTACAAGGATGGTGCCATTTTTGGAGATCCAGGTGCTGGCCCACTAGCATAATAAATCTTTCTTTCCTCCATTGTTGGAATTCCCTTTTGAGCCCCGAAAAGGCCAAACCATGACCTGAAGTTGAGGCCGAAGCTTATAGGGAGTCATTTCAGGGCTCAAAAGGGAGCTTGTGCTGGACCTCTGGAAGCTCCTGACTGGAGTCTTCATCCCAATCTTGGGATTCCATCTGAGAAGCTGAGGCCTCCAGGTTATAAGGAGGAGGTAAACAGGAAAGAGGGTCCCCTTTGCAGAAGGTTTCCTTCAGCTCAGTTTTGTCCCCCTTTACTAATTTTAAGGGAAAGAGAACCATGGTTCCCTGTCATCAACAAAGGGCATACTCAGTCTTTTCCTGACTCCCGAGACTCTTGTCATTAACATATTCAATAAGTATTGGCAGAACCAGTCCTTGTCTGATCCAAATTTTGGCCAGAAAATGGCCAGTTTGAGAATGGGTCCCTGTGTCCAGATAAGGCAGCAATATTTGATCACTTGTTGTTTCTTTTTGCCTTTGGTCTGAGTGTTATCGGGCCAATATTTTAGCATCTGTCCTAGTTGACTGTCTGAGGAATTTTATTTTTACTTTCATCTTTTTTAGAGCTCTTTTTATTTGCAGCATTGCCTATCCTGGTCTACCTGCTTGGTGAGAGGCTCAGTAGACGTTCAACCTCCTTAACTTCCTGGGGGTGTCTTGCACACTACCCCATGCACTTTGTCCCTCTCCCATTGATTTCCTGGTGGGATGATATCGTGTTGGTGGTGCTACTTGGCAAAAAGCAACTCGAAATAAGCCCTTGACTACAACCTCCAAGATCTTCCCTGACCCCAGAGGAATACTTTCCCAGTCGTTTCTTACCTTCCTTGGTCTGTGCACAGAATTGCTTGGTTGCTGTGGTGATTACTAAGGCCCTTTCTCCCTGCATTGCTGAGAGAATTCAAGCCTGGGATGACTTTCTCGTCCAAGAGCACTGGTCACCCAATACCTCAGGGCCACCTGCAAGGAGGTGGAGAGATGCACCTCCATTGGGGGAAGGGACTTCTGAGCACCTCTCTTCATGGAATTATCCTGGATGGGCCCCAGATTGTTAGAAATAAGATCTCTGAAGACCACTGGAGTCACAACCAAAGACACAGGAATGGAGAATTTTCTCAGCAAGGCAAATTTACTTCTGCAGAAGGGTGCGTGGGCACATGGGCACAGCAAGCACGAGAAGTAGACCACAGGTCCTCATTTTTATTCCCGAAGCAGGGAGGCCTGCCTCCTCTACTTGGATTGGTCAAGTTTGAGTGCATAATCTACTTGAGATTGGCTCATAATATACTTGGAATTTGGGGGTGGGGTAGGTAATAATTTTGGTGTAAAAATGGAGCTTAGTGAACAAGAACCCAGAACTGCAAACACCTAAATGGAGACACACTTTGATAGAAAAGACTGTTTTCCTCACACTGAATGGGGTGAGTGGCTGAATCTGGCAAATGGAATCCCAGGAGTTTGGGCCTGGGGATCAAAACTCCAGTTTCACACCTACAGGGCTCTTGTTGCTGGGGAAAGGTTATAAAAAACCCTCCACTCTGGGAAATGGGTGGAAAAAGTTTAGGAGTAGAACCCTATACCACCAGGACATCCTGCCCTTGGAGAGGCAGGAAGACGCACAGCAGATGTAAGGCACAGCTTGGCTTTCATGAGAAGGAGAGTCATGACACCAAAAAGCTGCTGAGTCACCACAATATGTCACCTCAAAACATGCCTCCTTAGCTTATGGGTTATTTTGAGTTAGGCACAATGGACAGTAAACAGATGTAGAAAAAGCTCTAAACCAGGGTAGAGTTTTCTTTTGTAAAGAAAATCTGCATTCATAAAAGCAGTTTCCATTTGTAAGGGTGTTTCTTTCTCTCAGAACACCAGGAAGAGGACGACTCTTAGCAACTCTTATTGGTGAGAAGATACTGACCTAAATCTGCAGAAGAGCTCTCCCTGGCCAGCCCTTGTCTGTGGTGTGTCTCCTGGTCCCCTTCCCATCACTGGTGGCCTTTCTTCTTCCAGAAGCCCCACACTTTTGCCAATGAGCTGCCTGGGGTCCTTCTGCTCCCCTTACATCTAGGTAGGTGAGGAGTCACTCTTTTAGCTTTGGTCATCATGGGCCTGAGTGCCAAGGCTTATGGGCTGGGCTGAAGGACCTAGAGGTTACAGCTCCTGGCTTTGGAAGCCAGGGACTCAGAGCCCTAGGTGCCTGGGTTGGAGGCTCATTGAGCTGACCTTTGACTGCTAGTGGCTTACACTTGGCAGCTAGTGAGACCCCAGGATGCAGCAGCAGGAGTGGCAGCAGCAGCTATGGTACAGCTCCTAGGACTTGGGTGCTGAGACTTCCAGCCTTTGAGGCTTAGCAGCTCAGTGGAACTCTCGGTAGAACTCTTCTGGCAACGGTGGACTGAAGTCCTTCATCTTTCACTCTTGACAGACTTCTGCCTTCTCTATACTTCCATTTCTCTATGCTTCTCTATATTGTCACTTCTGCCACCTTTGTTACCCACTATCTCTGCCCTGGATCATTCTCTGGGACTTTTTTTTTTTTTTTTTTGCAGGACTGGGGTTTGAACTCAGGGCTTCACGCTTACAAGGCAGGCACTCTGCCACTTGAGCCACACCTCCAGTCCTTTTTGCTTTGGTTATTTTTGAGATAGACTCTCATTTTTTTTTTTTTTGTCTCGGTTATCCTGAACAGTGATCCCACTATTTTATGCTTCTCCTTATAGCTAAGAAGACAGGCTTGCACCACCACTCCTGGCTTTTTTTTCTGGGGTCTTGAGAACTATTTGCCCAGGCTGGCCTAGAACCATGATTCTCCTGATCTCAGGCTCCTGAGTAGCTAGGATTACAGGCACAAGCCACTGGCAGCTGGCTCTCTGGGACTTGCAACCAATTTCTTGATGCTGTTTCCTGCTCATGTAACCAGCTCAGCCCATTCTATCTTTGGTAAAGATCACAGGTGGGCAAGAAAAGACTTTTGGGAGAAACCTTTTATTGGACTTAGTATTTCAATACAGGGCAGAGGGGATAGCAAACCAGAAAAGTAAGCTGAACAGTCAGGATGGCCTCTGGGTAGCATGCAAATGAAGGATTGTATTTGCACCAATCACAGCACAGCTTTCAGCTCCACCAATCACTGGCCTCTTGCTGAGTTACTGAGGAGTGCTCCCCCTCCCATGCTGAGGGAGAACAGCTGCAGGGTTGTCCACACTTCAGTCAGGCTTGGCTTGCAGGGCCAGTGCAGGTTGTCTGGACTGGTTGTCACTGGAGCAAGGTCTCGGGCTCAGGAGCCAGGGCTTCATTTGCAGTGGTCCTTGTAACTGGAGTGTTTTCAGAGTGACCGTAAACTGTCCAAAACAGCCTGGCTGCCGTGAGGACAGTGAAACCACTTGCCAGAGAAGGGACTGCTGGGCTGAAGTTCCCCAGTCAAGGCTGCCAGGCATCGGGGAAGGCTCTGTCCACTGCCGTTCAAGGGCCTGGGTGCCCAGTCCCTGTGGCTTCACTCACTCACAGAGAAAAACATAGTGCTTATCATAAAGACTTAAAGAAATGTTGAAAACTAAAATGGTCTCAAGAACATTTGCCAGTGCTGAAGAGAGTTTCACCTCGTCCCAGGGCCCTAGGAGGGCTGGCTCCCTCGGATCTGTGTCAAGACTGCTTTTCCTGGGTTTAACCTAAGCTGGAATGTGACTTAGGTCTCCTCTTTTTTCTTGGGGCAACCTCCTGCATGCTCTTGGAATTACAGCTACCTTTTCCTCCTGTTAATCTTTCTCTTAGTTTGATTCTCGGGATCTAGCCATTGAATCTATAAACCAGAAAAAAAGCATAAAAGAGGTTAAACCAAAGCAATGACAGCTTTATTCCAGTGCAGGTGAGATGTGCAACTGAGGAAACTCAGGGTAGGTGCGGCTGAGCCAGTGCTGGGCTGCATCTCTGCTGTCTCCTCCTCTTCTCCCACTCAGATTAGATTAGCGCCCCACCCTCATGACCTCACTCAACACTTAGAGACCCTGTCTCCAAATATAGTCACTTTCTTGATTAGGTCTTTTTCAATACGTGACTTTTAGGCAGACAGAATTTAGTTCATAGCAGTAACTATAGCAGAACAAGACCTAAAATTGGTTCAGTCCTGATCAGATTCACTGTACTCACCTCATCTTAAAAAAAATCACTTATCATTATAAATATTATAAATATTTTCCTTACTCCCACACAGACTTCATAGCTGTCATTTTTCATGGCTATGTAATATTTCTTTGAATATATTTATCTTTTTTTTTGGTGGAACAGGGGTTTGAACTCAGGGCTTTTAAGGTTGCAAAGCAGGTGCTCTACCATTTGAGCCACACCTCCAGTCCATTTTGCTCTGGTTATTTTGAGAGATGGGGGTCTCTCAAACTGTTTGCCCCAACTGGCCTTGAACCATGATCCTCCCAATCTCAGCCTCCCAAGTAGCTATGAGCCACCAGCACCTGGTTAGATTTATAATTCTTTATGCCCTTTCATATTGTTGCACATTTTAGTCTAGTTCAAAAAAAATCACATTTTTTCATATTTGGAATATTCCCATAAAACAGATTCTCTGTTATGGGCAGAATTGTGCCTCCAGGCAAAATTCCTGTGTGGAAGTCACAGCCCCCAGTGTAATGGTATGTGGCTATGGGACTTTGAAAGGTACTTGGGGTGTAGTGAATTGGGGTGGAGCCCTAACTCAACACAGTTGGAAGGAGGAGAGTAATCAGAGTGCCCCAGCCACAGAAGGATGCAGCAAGAAGGTGGCTGTCTGTGAGTCAGGAAAACAGCCCTCATCCGGAGCCAAATCTGACTACATCTTGACCTGCAAGAGATAAATGTCTGTCTGCTGGTTAAGTCACCCTGTCTGCCACATTTTGTGTGACAGCCCCAGCAGAGCAATTTTGCACAACCTCTTTTACACTTGTGTGTTGCTTATCTGTGAATGCATCAGGCTGTCTTGCCTTTTTTCTGGCTGTTTATATAAACTTCACTGCACCTGTCCTTTCGAAGGTGACTTTTCTGTCATCTGTGAACTTAGATTCAGCTGTTTTCCCTTGTTTACATAATTTATGAAGCTGTATGTTAATTCTAGCCCCACACCCAACAATCCAAGATCATGAATTTTGTATTTTTAAGTTTATCAATAACAAAGTTCTCCCCCTAGTTCTGACATTTCTCTCTCTCACATCCCCATCATGTACCAAGAAACATTTAATATAAATAACAAAGAACTCTCATACAAACGCCAAACCCCTAAACCAAAACCCAAACCCAATGCATGAAATTCTTCCTACAGTTATAGAAATTTTTGCCTAACCCTATATATATATATAGATGTATGTAGCATATACATCTTCCAAAGCGTTTTTATATGTATCCTAATACACAAGGAGTTTTATTTAAATGTCTGCTGGTGAAATGATTGTGTCAGTTTATTAAACAGAGAAGAAAACCTCAGAACTATTTTTTGTCAGGCAAGTCAGCAAAGACTGAGTGAGAGTCGTATAAAAATTGAGAATGAAGAGCTAGAGAGGGATACACTGCAGTTGGGAGCCCTGGCGTCTAACACAGACCCTTGACTCACCAGGATCACAGAGGCGTCAAGCTGATGGAGGGCAAACATTTTCTTTAGAACTATTGCTTAGGTAAATCTTTGCTACAGGCCTCATAGTCAGTCAGTGAGCATTTATTGATTTTCTAAGGCTCCTTAGAACATAATGAATGAATTCCTGTCTTCGTGGAATTTCCAAGTTATTGGTTTTGTCAAGGTGTTGTTTTAAGGCAGACTATGGCTTATAATTATGACCCCATGACCTTGCATTTGAGGTCTCACACGAAAATTTGAAACATCTTTGCTTCTTGCGTCTGTTAACTGTTTTCTTTTAGTGGTACTGGGGTTTGAACTCAGGGCTTCTGACTTGCTGGGCAGGTTCTGACTTGCTGGGCAGGTTCTGACTTGCTGGGCAGGTACTCTACCACTTGAGCCCCTCCACCAGCTCTTTTTGCATTGGTTGTTGTTTTTGATAGGGTCTTGCTTTACACCCTGGACCACGATCCTAGTATTTGTGCTTCCTCACATAGCTGGAATGATAGGCATGTACCACAGTGCTCAGCCTGAGCTGGCCTTAAACCGTGATCCTCCCAATCTCTGACTCCCAAGTAGCTAGGATTACAAGTGTGAGACACTGCACCTGGCTTGGGTCTGTTAACGTTATAGTTCTCTAAAGATGTCTTTACTGCAGCCAATGTGCAGTGCAGGACTCTGAGATATTAGTAAAATTTTCAGATGATCCAGAATTATCACTTAGAATTAAAGTTGCCTCACTTTAGTTACCTCTGTTCCTGATTAGGATTGACCTAGTACCAGCAAATCGATGGAAGGGGTTGTTAGTTTGGGTTTCTTCCTTGCACAAAAAAGGTGATGCAGGAAGCACAACTTAGGGGTGGGCAGAGTAAAGCCGATGGGAGGACGTTTGCAGAATATGGGAGGGCAGCTGCTGTGATGCTTGTATATCATATATACACTGAGCATCCCCTCTGCAAAAATCCAACATAGGAAATGCCTCAAAATCTGAAACTCTCTGAGTGCCAACAAGATGAGGACCCCAGCATGGGTGCCTCCCAAGAAAGGTCACCTTGGAGGACAGGAGGCTGCAGAGTTTACTCATCTTCTCCTATTTCCATTGACTGGGGATATCAGTGTCCCTCTCAACCACTGAGAAGATGAAAAGAGGAAAGTCCCAAGGCGGTTGCCGGTGTGGGATGCTACAAGCTGCAGAGGAGTTTGGGCCATGCTGAACTCTGCACTGCACCCGTGTGCAGTGGTATGCAGAGGTGGACAGGGCACCAGAGGCACCTCTTCAGAGAGCATCACCTCCTTTTCTCTTCCTATTTGACTCCAGTCAAATAAACAAATATCAGGGAAGAGTAGAAACAGAGGTTTGAAAAACCCCATACTCAAATCCTACAACATCTGGCACCAAGAATTGATGGCTTCCATCAGCAGTCTTTACTATCTCTCACACCACCAGACCAATTTGCTACTCTTTACATCAAAAGACCTCAAAAGAGTGGCCTCAGATTAGTTTCCACTCTGATCCCCAGGTTCTCCTCCTCCCATTGAAGTCAAGATTTTATCGTCCACATTGAAACCACTATCAACAAGATCATCTACCACCCCCATCTTGTCAAATTAAATGGGAAACTTGCATCCTCATTTTGCTTGACCATCAGCAATGTGGTCCTTGATCATGTCTTTTTGAAATCTCTCGTTTGGTTTCCATGAGCCTCCATGCTCCCTCCTACCTTGCTCACTTCTTTTCTATGCTTCCCTTTTAGGGTGCTCCTCCTCTTGTGACCTCTAAATGTTAGTTCATTCAGACTGAGTTTTTGGTTCTTTTTTCTTCTCTATCTACAATCCTTCCCAAATGGTTTCATTACTTCATAACTTATATATCATGTATACGTTGAGGATCCCCTGTGCAAAAATCCAAAATAGGAAATGCCTCAACATCTGAAACTCTTTGAATGTCAACAAGGTTCCAAAATTTTTGTATTTTTGAATTAAAGATACTCAACTGGTAAAGTCAATGAAAATATTCCAAAATCTGAAAACTCCCCATATTGGAAACACTTCTGATGCCATGCATGTTAGGAGCAGTCGACTTGTATGCTGCTGGTTCCATATGTTTGTCTCAGTCCTTGGCCTCCCTCACCAAACCCCAAACTTGTGGAGTTTACTACTTGACAGCTCACCTGCCAGTGGGATCCCGAACTCCATTACTAATACTAGATTTCTTCCCAAACTCGCTGCTCCTCACGTCAGAAAGTGGTACCACCTTGGTTCCCTTCTTCCCACTTTTCATCCATTGTCTTCTTGGCATCCTTCAGCTATCAGCTACATCTGGAATCCAACTGTTTGTTGTGACTTTCTTGAGAGGCACAATAATGGCCCCACAAAGATGCTCAAGCTCTAATGCCCAGAATCTATGAGCGTTTCCTTACATGACAAAGGAATGTGCCAACACGACTGGGGTTACAGACCTTGTGCTGGGAGATGATTTGAGTGGGTCACTCTAATGACATAAGCCCAGATGTAGAAGAGGACGGCAGACAAAGGTACTGTGTGAGAAGGGCTGGACTGCTGTTGTTGGCTTTGAAGATGAAGAAAAGGGGCAATGAGCCAGAATGTGACTGCCTTTGGAAGAGGGAGAAAGCCTTATTTTATGAAAATGAAAACAAGAACCTTGGTCTACAAGGAACTAAACTCTGACAATAGCTCACATGAACAGGAAAACAGGTTCTCACTGGGGCCTCCAGGAAGGAGTGTGTCATACTGGCACCCTGATTTTGGCTTCCTGGGCCCACCTGGGACTCTGGCCTGCAGATCTGTAAGATACTATTTGGTGCTGGTTTAAGGCATTAAGTCTGTGGTGACTTATGGTGGCAGCAATAGAAAATTTATGCAACCTCCATCACTACGGTCCTTGTCCAAGTCATCACCATGTTCCCCCTGCAACAGTCTTCCAATTGCTCTACTCCATAAAATAACTACAGGTGATGTTGTAAAACAGGTCAAGTCCTGCCTTCCTCCTGCTCAGAAACCTCCAAAAGCTTCTGGATACATTTAATTAAAACCCCAACTTTTTGTCACAGCCCACAGGACTCTGCATGTCTGATGCCTGTGTAATTTCCCTGCTCCTGCTCTCTAATTTCACTCCAGCCCCGCTGGTTTGGAGATTTCCTTAACCCACCCAGCCCATCCCTGCCTCAGGGCAGTAGCCCTTCCTTCACATTCTCGCTCCTTCCCCTGACACACATGGTTTTTCCCCTTTGGTTCATTCAGGCCTGTGCTTCCGTGCACCTCCTCAAGCAGGACCTCTGCGTCTACCATGCCTCCTCCATTCTTCACGTGCTCTAGTGTTCTGACAGTATTTGTTAGCTGTCTAAATGACTTTAGAATGAGGATTGTAGAGTCACTCCTTCTCTAAATGATCATCTGTCTGCCCCCAGAAAACAGACTTTATCAGGGCCCCTAAAAGTTTGTCTTGTATATTGCCGTTTTGTGCATGGCTGTGAGGACAGCTCCTAACATACAAGAGGTGTTCATTCTATTTTTATTGAATGAATGGTTGGAAAGCAGGAGGTGGCTGACATCTGGGCCCTTGATTCAACGACTCCATTTCTCTGTCACATGTTCTTGGGGAGGGATTGAAGAAATTCTCTCAAGTTTTCTGACTGATTACTATTACACAGACCACTACACTGGTGAGCTGTGCAGAGCTATGGAAGGCAGGGGTGCTGGACTGGGCTGTTGGTACATTGCATGTGTCCTTGGTGGGATGCACGGTGGCCACAGAGCCTGGCTCCCAAAAAGCCTGTATGGAAGATTTATTATTTTTTCTATATACATGATTGGTTAACGGTATAATCAATGGGATATAGTTTTATATCATGCAAGTTTAAATATAAATAAGTTGGCACCACCTTTAATGAGAATGCCCTGCTAACTGTACCAGAAGACAGGTCTCTGACTTCCTAGACTTAGGAAGTCCCTTTCTCGGGTCCATGGAAGGACAGCACAGATAAGTGGAGGCTGTGCCTGAAGATAAGTCTGTGTAAAGCCCAGCCAGCTCTGTCATTTTGAAGGCAGATAGAAGCAGAGGGGTTTCTTTTTGTGAGTTGTAAGCCTATCACAGTGGCGGGGTGTGTGGGGTTCCTTGTAGCCAGACCTGGCAGCATCCTCATCATTGGATGCTGTATCTCTCAGCAAATTTAGGGTTCATGACCATGGTGGTGGCACTCTTGAAATGGGGGTTATCCTGGAGAGAAAACAAACAATAGCCTTGTCAGTACAGGGAGGTTTCCAGGTCACTATGAGCCATCACTCTGAGGAGTGAACCAGAGTGGGGCTTCCCAGGATCTGAGCCTTGGTGACAAAGCTTGTGCATGATGGCACACACTCTGAGGTTGAACAGCTGGGGTGGGGTGTGTGCACCCCTCATGGGCAATCACAGTCATGGCCCCACCAGGAGACATTACAGAAGATGGGAGGAATGAGTCCCCCCACAGGGGACCCCAAGGATGATCACTTACTCTGTTATTCTGGAGCTTGTGCTTTTCCCTTCTTGCAGAGGGTCAGAACCTTCCAGGTGACCAGCAGGAGGAGACCCAACAGCTGGACTCCCACCATAATGCCCACTATCGTGGCAGTGGTGTTGGGGCCTGGCACACACTCTAAGGAGGAAACATGTCCCAAAGTGTCAACTCATTCCCATGGGCCCGTGGCCACTGTACTGTGCCTACTTCTACAGAGGGTCCCACTGCGGGGCTCACCATCCACCACACGGCCATGGGCAGATGCCAGAAACAAGGCGAGGCCCATGGCTCCAGATGACAGTTGACACGGGCCCTTGTTCCTAGAGAAGAAAGGCCAGGTCACTGTCCAACCTGAACAGAGCCTGGATGAGACACCAGCCTCCCAACTCATGGGCACCACCTGCTAGGACAGCCGTTAGCTGTCCCCAGACCGGCTGTTCCCACTTGATACTCGGTGGGAACGTGCGCAAGGGGTGCCCAACCATCTCACTGCAGAGTGCAGGAATGGGAACTCGTGATGTCTCTGCTCGAGTGTGCGCCCGGGGGAAGGCGATCACTGTGACCAACAGCAGAGACCAGAGGCCTGTGCTCAGGCAGCTCAGGCAGCTGTGGGGATGAGCAGCGCCTGGCCTCCTCCTCAGCACGGGGCTCTGGGCTGCAGTGGGCCATGCTGCAGGCCCCGACCATGGAACAGAGGCACTAATGGCCATCACGAGTCCTTCTCTGCTGGGCCCCCAACACCGACACTTTCGTAGTCTCTCTTCAATCATCCTAGCCTTTGCAGGAGGCCCATTGTCTTCACAGAGGTTACGTAACTTCGTCAAGGTTGCACATCAGAGTAACCTGGAGAGGCCATTGCCCTGGTAGGCCAGAGTCTGCAGCCCCCAGGCTGTAAAGCAGGCTGTGAGCTCAAGGTACCTCACATGTCACATGGAGAGTCTGGGCCCCACCTGCCTTTCAGGTAACTGTCTTGAGGGGTGGGGGCAGGGCGCGCCAGGTCTCAGTCTTGCAGGAGTCCCTGTGCTACTGGCCTGAGGTCCCTTTGGTTACCTAAGTGGCCTCCCCAACTCTGTCCCCTCATCTCTCTGAGCCTAAATGTGGTGAGGGTGCTGGAATCCTGAGGGATCCATGTCTAAACCCCTCAAGGCCCATCCCTTCATGTGTCTTTTTGCCCATGTTCAGTGTCCCTGACATCTTTGGTCACTGTGAGCCAAAGCACCTCCAAACCTCACAATCCCCTTGTCTTCCCCTCCATCTGCTGGGGTCCTGGATCCTTGACCCATCATTTATTCCTCCCAGTGCTCCTCCACCATGTTCTATCCAAGGCCAGGTTCTGTCTGCATCACCCCCTTCTCTACCCAGCCCACCTGTCATCTCTGCTTTGTCAGGTCCTGTACTGGTCAGCAGCCCTCAATAGGGCAGTGTTCACTGCCCCCTGAAAGGACAGTGTCCACTGGCTACTGACAGGACGGTGTCCTCCTGTCCCCTTACAGGACAGTATCTACCTAGATCCTTTGAGTATAGTGTTCACTCAGTGTCTGACAGGGCGGTGTCCACCTGGTTGCCAGGTGGGATTTGAAAAGCAAATTTGATTGAACCACTTTTCTTTTGAAAAGCCACTATGGCTTCCTGGTAAGTCTAGGAATAGATCTGAATTCCTCCCAAGTCTTGGGGGACCCAATGATTGGTGCTGATTGTCCTAACCAAAGATCCTTTCCTCTCCCTTGTCCCAACATCTTATCTTCCCTTCTGAGGCAACTCCAGACCTCGAGGACCCCTCACCCCCGGTCTGGGCATCACTGTGATCTCGACTGCAGCCCCATGCAGGTGGGTGTTGGTGTCTGACATGTGGCCAAGTGCCTCCCTCCTCCTTGGACTGTGAACTCCAAGAAGACCTGGTCAGGATCCCCAAGTTCACAGATGTTATTGGGCCTGGTAGGGACCCAAGCCTAGCAGAGGGAAGGCAAACAATGTTTGGGATATCAGTGCTTTTCAGAAGCCCCAGAAGCTCTCCACATGGGGCACTCTCAGGCAGCCGACAAGGACTAGCCTTTAGGACCCTCCCTCTCAAGTGGGAGATGCCCTGGGTGGGTGGGTGACTGGTCCAATGGCTAATATGTAGTGGTACTGCTGCCTCTGTCTATTGCTTCTTGCCTGATGCAGGGTCAAGTAAGGAAAGTGGAGTGAAGGGGAAAGTTGGTAGGGTGGGTCAGGTGGACAGCTGCCAGCTGCCCTGCTATGCTGGTGGCTCAGACAGCTGGCCTACCACTACTGGGCTTGCCTTGCCCCACAGGAGAGAAAACCCTCCCTCTGTAGCCCCTTACCATCTGTGGGGGCCCCATGGTACCGTTCTTGTCACCACAACCCACCTGCCCCAGACCCTGGGCACCACCCAGCCTCACCTAGGCTCTCCTCCACGTAGAGGTCATAGGTGTCCCTCCCATCCCGCTGCCGCATGGTGTAGGTCATCCAGCAGCCCTGTGAGTCCTGCTCCTTGCAGTTCCTGCCCTTCACAGGTACATCTTGCAGTGTCACATTTTCACACATGGTGCTGCAGCTCTTCTTAAAGGGGCCGTTGTTGAAAACGGCCATGCCAGGGTGCATGGTGTGGATGGATGCACAGGTGTGCAAGGATACACAGGTGCATTGGGGTGCACAGGCGTACCAGGATGCATGGGTGTACAAGGGTGCCCAGGTGTGTCAGGATTGGGGGAAGTGCAGGGATGCACAGGTGTGCCAGGGTACACTAGTGTGTCAGCATGCACTGATGAGTGTGTCAGGGTTCGTGGATCTATTGGAGCATGGGTGTCCAAGGCACACAGGTGTGTCTGGATGCACGGGTGTGTCAGAAAGCATGGTTGTGTCAGAGTTAAGGATGCGTCAGGATTCAGGGGCATGTCAGGCAGTATGGATATATCAGGGTGCCTGGTGTTGCCCACCAGGTGGTCCTGAGTGGGGGCCTGGGTGCTACCAGAGGTGTGAGTGAGGGATGCAGGCTGTGGGGAATGGAGGGCAGAGCTGGTGGGAGTGGAAACCTGATCCAAGGTGGGAGAGAGACACAGGACTGAGACCCCCTGAAGTGAGGCCTCCCCAGGTGCTCAAAGGAAGGGGGAGGTTAGGGGGCACTGGGGCTGCTGGATCCTGCCTGGGGCTGCTGTGCAGTGGGTGCTCCCTGGGGCTCCAGGTGGGCCTGGCAGAGAGTTAGGCATGGACAGGAGGACACTCACATGTACCGGCTGCAGGGTGAGGGGCAGCTGGGGCAGTCCTCGCACAGGGGCAGCTGGTAGCCAGCGTCACACTCACATCTGTTGCAGTGGCACTGGCCTCGGCCACTGCATTCCACCTGCCGTGAGTTCAGACAGCCCGTGGTGGACCTCTGGCAGTGGCAGGCCGAGCCCTCGTAGCCCTCCATGCAGTAGCACTGGCCACAGAAGCAGCTGCCCCTTTCTGGAAGACAGAGGAGGCAGTTGTGACTCACCTCTCTACCAAGCAGGGACGCTAGGAATCCCCAATGGCTGCTCACTTGCCCGACACTGCCTCACAGGGAGGTCTGTGCCTCCAGCCTCTGCCACTGCCTACCTCTGGCTGTCCCTCCTGCAGCCCCATGGCACTGGCCATGTAAGGACAACTGTGCCTAGCAGGCCCATATAGCCCCACCAGCAACACAGTCACCTCTTGGCCAATCTTGGCCTCCACAGTCCACCTGTGAATGGGATCCCAGTCAGGCCATGACCGCTGCCCCCAGGGCTCCTCCCAGGATGACTCCTGACCCTCACAGACACAGAAACTGGCCAGGAAGGAAGGAGGGTCACTCCAGATCTTGCTGCTGTTGAGCAGCTGAGCGAGACTTGCAACTGTCGTCCATCTGTATGCCTGTTCCCAGTCTCCTACTCAAGGTCCCCTAGTACAAAGTAATAAGAAAGCCCCGGGGATGGCCCCTGTCAGGACCAGGACCCGACCACTCACGTGGGCCACCACAGACTTGGCCATCATAGCGCTCACAGTTGACATTGTCGCATTCACAGTAGCGCCCAAAGATCTGCTTGTTGGGGACGTCACTGGCATGGCACACGCACTGCCCACAGATGCAGTCCCCCAGCCCCGAGCACATAATGGATCTGTTGTCCTTCCGGCACCTTCCCTCCAGCTCCTGGCTGCTCCGGCCCTGTGTCTGGCACTCACAGTTTTTCCCAATGTAGCCTGCATCGCACCTGGGGCAGAAAGGGCTGCATTCAGACCCTCCCCTGTGATGGGGTCACCTCCCGTCCCTCAGGGCCCAACCCTGCTGTAAAACACCCGCTATTGCCTGTGGTGTCTGCTCTTTCCTTAAGGGTCTCCTGAACACAAATAGGAACTAGGTGGGGACATCTCTGAGGGCACACGGGTGATCTTCTGCAAGTGTGGCACCTCTGGCAGGCTCACCTTGGAGCTGCCCCATGAGCTGTGCCATGTGGCCAGTGTCTGCTTCCACACGCTCTGGGGCAAAGGTGGCTGGTGGGGACTTAGCACTGCTGCCTGGACATAGCAGGCAGAAGGAGGCAGGGACCCGTGGTTTAGTAGGACAAAGGTGACAGTAGCCAAGCCACTGGCATGTGAGTTCTGAGCACAGGTCCAGTCATGCACGGAGGTGACCCTGCAATGGACTGTCCTACCTCCCAGAGGAAGGAGCTTCGGGACCCTCTGACCAGTGGCCCAATGATTTAACCAAGTCATCCTCAGTCCTGTGGGGAGGTCACCCCAGGCCTGCACACTCAGAACAAGAGCAGGTGCCACTGAGCCAGGACCCAGAGACAGCCACTGTCACAGAGCTGCTGGGAGGATGCAGGGGGCGGTGCAAACCTGAGGACTGGGACAGGGCACTGGGAAAGCAGTCAGGGGAGAGGAAGGTGACCAGTGGTAAACAGGGTAGGTTCCCTGGCGGGGTTGGCCCGGCAGCTCTGGCTAGGTGGCTGTGGCTCTGGGCTCCTCAGTAGGTGGGGTGAAGGTTGAAGTGGCTGAGCTGACAGCTGTCCACAGTGGACAGCCTGGCAGTGTGCAGTGTGTGGGCTGGGGCTGGATGTCACAGACACAGCCCTGGTGTCCTGGATGGGAGGCAGAGGGTGAGGCCAGCCACCTTTGAGCAGTGAGCGCCCATTGGGAAGATAATTCAGCTTCCTCATTCAGGGGAACAAGACCCTTACTCACCACTCTGCTTTCTCTGCTCTGTGCCTCTCTGGGCCTCAGTTTCCCCACTCATAGATGGGGAGCAGTTGGTTGGAGCTGTTGGAGCATTTAGGGGGTATAGGCTTTGCTTGGTTGTCTCCTGGGGGCTGAGGAGGGGGCTGAATGCGGTGGGTGTCCCTCAGAGGTGCCCGGCCCTGTTGGGTGGGTGGAGTGCTGTGGTCTTCCTGTGTCTGTCTTGCATATAGATACCTGTCCTATGGTATGGGCAGGGTGCAGTGGTTTTCCTGTCTGTCTCACCAAGGGACACCTGCCCTGTGGGTGGGGAGCTGAGGGCAGCTTGTGCCCACCTCACCTGCAAATGCCACATTCCACAGAGCCTTTGCCTCTGCAGAGGCTGTGGTCCTGCTTCTGATCCCGGCACTGGCACTCACACTGGGGAAGGACTCGCAAGGTCACTGTGTCAGTGAAACCCAGTGCACGGATGACAAAGGACTGCTCCTGGATGCACTCTGTGGCTGTGACCTTCACCTGGAAGGTGATCTGTAGGGAGAGGAGCAGGGCTCAGTGGAGACCACAGGGACCAGGGTCACAGCCTTGCTCCCATTCCTTCAGTGGCTCCAGGGCACATGGGACTTGTGTGGGATGGAGGGTGCTGGCACAATCAACAAATTAGAATAGAACTGAGTAAATTCCCACATGGGCCATCCACTATGGTGGGAAATATTCTGGTTAAAACTCACATGCAACATTTAGGAAGTGACACACAGAGGAATTCCAAAGCCGTATTAACAGTGCAGTAACAGCAAGTATTTGTTTGAATAATAATTCACAGCCACCAAAAAAAAAGGGATTGGATAGATAATACATCTAAATTTAGGAGATTAGGGAAATATTCAATACCTATTTCTGGTCATCTGTGTGACTCGTGTCTTAATATTTGTTAAAAACAAAATGAAACAAAAGTCAGGAAAACAACTCAGCCATATCTGTAGTTTGCCAAGCTGTGCACATCTTGTGGCTGCCCCCAGGGGGCGCTGTCATTGCATGACTAGTCAGTCTACACTGGCTCATTGCAGGGATTTAGGGTTCTTCTGTTGTGCTGATAAACATGGGCTCCTGTTGGGGAGGTACCCTCTCTGTCCTGTTGCTGACATTAGGACACAGACACACATGGAGTTTCTGTCCTCCTCACAGAGGTTGTTTAGAGGCAGGAAAATGGGACTGGCCAGTAGTCAGTCACTGGCTGGTTTCCCCCGATTGCATGGCACTGGAGGCTCTTCGTTTCCTTGTAGCTGTCATGGAGCCCCTAGTGAGCTTTCCAGGTGGTGGGAAAGAGTCCCCATCCCCTCGGAGGAAGCCAGGCTCACCGACACATTGATCTGCACGCCATTGCAGTCCCCTCTGGGCTGGTTCATGAGTGACACTCCATTACTGCAGAAAGAGTCGTAGGTGACTTTCAGGGTGTCTGGGAGGGTGCTGTGGTCCAGGAGGACTCTGGAGGACAGTTTCTGCAGGTAGAGAGCAACTGTGCTTAGGGGTAAAGCATCCCACAGTTAACAACACCCATGCTCATTGAGAATGCAGCAGGATGTACCAAGGAGGGGATGGCAGCAGCCTGCCCTGAGACAAGCCACCTGCAGGGGACCAACATGGACACAGGCTGGGAGCTCCACAAGGACTGTCAGGAGAGATATGAGAGAAAAGACAGAGAAGAGGGAAAGGGAGGGAGAGAGACGGAGACAGTGGTGGCACGCGATGGGTGAGCAATGACAGCATCACCTGTGCCATGCATGCAGACAGTACATAGGTGGACAGCAGCTGGGTACAGCAGGCTGCTTAGGTGCTTGGGGCTCACGAGGATGGAGAAGCCCTTGGGAACTCTACAACTTGAATTCTACAACTTTGCCCTTTGCCAGAGGGGTGCAGGCCAGAACTTTGGGAATGCCTCTCATTCAGGGTAGATCTCCAGAGTGGTCAGGGACTCGCTGGTGCCTGGGGCCTGAGTGGTATCTGGTGCCTACCTGCATCCATCTGGACCATGAACTTCCAAGGGAACAGTCCTGGGATGCAACTGGATGGGCCACATGCCAGGAAGGAGGATAGGGGACAAGAACTTATGCAGAGCTTGCCCAGGAAGGAACGGAGGGCTGGCATACATGAGATGCTGGCAGGTAAGCACCCAAGTCCACCATGGTAATTTCTGGGGCCTCCCCACCCCATGGTGCTCCCCTAGCCATCCATTTCCCACTTCTCCCTGGTGACCAGCAGGGAAGAGCCCCTGGGGAGGAGGGCCTGGAGCTCGTGTTTCAAGGAGTGTCTGTGTGGGGTCTGGATGGCACACGCCGTGCCATCAGTGAGAGGACACAGAGCTGCCCTGAGCCTCGTAGGATCCCTGAGGGGCCCCACAAGGCAGGGCTCTCCCCCTCCCAACCCTCTGCTGACTGGAGGGGAGGGGAGGGTTGCTGCCCATGGGATCCAGACCAGCCCAATGACTGCCCTACCGGGACACTCACATTGTAGGCATTCTTGATGAGCTCTGCCATGTTGCTGGAGTCCTCAGACAGCTCTCCCACAGCTGACTTGGAGATGATCTCTGTGAGTTTCTGTCAGGCGAGAAACCGGTACAGCTAGCACCTGGGTTGTGGGCCCTTCCACGTCCACCCAGGTGGGCTTGTGATGCCCAGGGACCTTCCATGCTGTGCTGTGGCTCACACGATGTTTAATAGTTTTGTGTCACAGAGATCTGAACAGCCCTGGGCTGAGGGTGGGCTCACTTCTGTGGTGTAAATGCTCCTGGTGGTCAATTTCAAGCTGGTGACATCACGAAGTTGGGGACCCATGCCTTACTCTCTAGGGATAGTATTTCTACACATCAGCATTATAGGCAGAAATAACACCAAGGGCACTGATATCAGTAAAATGTGGTAAAATCACCAGGAGGTGTTGAGTCCTCACATGGGCTTAAGTGATGTAATTGTAATAGCGACGACTTACACAACCCTGTGATAATTGGCTCTAGCAGGACAGTCCTGTTGTCCAGTTGTGTCCCTGGTGGAGTGCTGACCAGAGCCCCTGGTTATAGGTGGACCAGCCCCTCACCCCTCATACCTTCAAGGGCCATGTTTGAAAAAGGGCCAGCAACCATTTCTGCTCCAGGGCCACACAACGGATGGCCAGGCCACTTCCCTACCCAGCTATCCTCCCATGACTCCCCACAATGGAGTCCAGTCCCCTTTACAGAGCCCACAAGGTTGTTACAGCCTGGCCACCAACCTCCTCTAGGCTCTGCTGTCCTGCCCCATTTGTCTGAGCCATGGGAGGGTGGGAGGGAGCCCTTCTACACCCTGCCTGTGGAACCTGCTCTCTACTCAGCCCAGGAGCTGAGGAGGGTCTGAAACTATATACATATACACATATGTGTGTGTATATATATATATATATATATATATATATATATATGAGAGAGAGAGAGAGAGAAAGAAAGAAAGAGATAGAGATAGAGATAGAAAGAGAGAGATTCATTTCTGGTGACAGCATTTATTTTTGTACTCTGCAGGAGGAGCCCCATTCCTGACCCAGAAAGCAGCGTGACTGACATGGCAGGATGCATTGATGGCTGGCACTAGCTAACGTACATCTGCAGGACTGGACCACTCAGTGGCTCAGAAGCCAGGCTACATATGTAAGTCACCTAATATCAGATTCCTCGGCCTGGCTCCATGCCACACCAGGGGACAATGTTGTGAGCATACTGAGTGTGTGCCTGGTAGGAGGCAGTGGGCTGGACTCCAATGCATGAAGTAAAACTGCTGGTATACAGCAGAACACTAGGATCACCAGAGGCCTCCTCCACTCAGGTGAAGGCAACCACAGGCTCCCACACTGAGGTACACAGGAGTTAGAGGAGGTGAGGGGACAAAGAGAGTGCCTCACAGGACCAGGACAAATAGGTTAAACTTAAGCAAACCATGAAAAAATGCAAAACCAGAGCAAGTCAAACTCCAACAAAGCCCTGACAGCAATAAAAAAGAGAAAAGGAAAGACAGAATAAAAGCCACTCCTGGGACAGAAGAAAATTCCCACTAGAGCTAGAGCTGTGCAACAATGCTATAAAAGCTGGGCACATGGGAATCCTGAGGCACAGAGTCAAGGATGGGGAAAGAAGTGTGCTCAGGGGGAAGAAGCAGGGTTTTTGGGGTGCATGTGTCTGTGTGTGGGTGAATCTGGTCTTTGATCCAGACACTGGTTGTTGGCTGTTTGTGAAATTCGTCCAGCTCCACACTCCAGACTTGTGCACTTTCCTGTGTGCATCTTATGCACCATGGCTAATGTCTAAGTTCACCAGTGTGTGGATGTAAAAATGAAACAAGGAAATTCCCCCACCCCTCTGTAATAAAGAATTGGATCTGCAGATCCAAGAGACTCGTGTTTTGGCAAATCTGGAAAAGTTCCTTCTTGTATCCACACATAAGGGGCATGTTTCCTAAAAGGCAACCTCAGGCTGTTATTCACAACAGCAAACCATGACAGAAGTAGAACTCAGTAACACTGTGCAATCTGGGTTTTGTCATCTTGCAGCTGAATGCCGCCTTCCCCACCCCCACCATTGCTCAAGACCCTATTCACTTACCTCATAGGTTTTCGCCATCCCCTTGGTCACCATGAAGATGGGTTGAATGTTGTTTTCATCCAGTCTGTGTGCCAGCTGGCTCACTGACTGGTAATCCTGGACAGAGGAGACGTCCTGTCAGGAGATGCCTAGGACAAGCCTTCCAGGCCTCCCAATGGAACCAAGTGCTCAGAGCTCTGAGGGCACCGGCACCAGCTCAGGCCTGGTCTGTCCTGGTGCTATCTTCTCTGAACAATGCTTACAAATGCATGAAAAAATGGGATTACATGGGAAACCAATTATATTGAAATCTAATTAAAATATTCACAACTGTGATTGTGCCTCTTGTTAATGTGTTGACCAAGAAAGCAAGTGGCAAGTGACAGCTCCTAGATGGGTCCACACCATAGGGTGCTATCTCTATATCTGAGATATCTCCATAGGGTGGTATCTCAGACATGCTCTCATGATGGCGTGTGCATGCATGACTGAAGGGCACTGGATTTGGGGTAGAGGCTGATAGTCATGGTCACAGCATGTGATTCCATTCCTGTCCACGTTCAGGAGCCCTGGATTCTATCAGTCCAGCACCTGCCAGAGTCTGTGGGTTCCAGGAGGGGCGCTTGAATTGTGCCATCTCTAAATCCTTCACAGCACACAGAAGTTTTGTGATTGTAGGACTCAAGAGCATCGGAGCACAGCTGCTGTCACAGCCCCATGGAGGACAACTGTACTTCCAACCACAGGATCCTGACTTCTGCTGGAGGGAAAGACTTTCCCCAAGCCATCCTAATCCCCAGCTGAGGGCCAGGCACCTTCCTGCCTCTGCCTCTCCAGTCCCACGCTCCTCCCTGGTCCCATGGTCCTCTCCCACCTGGGCACTGGAGGCAGGGGCCCATGTAAGAGAGGAGGTGAAGAGAGGAGAGGAAAGGAGAAAAAAGGGATGGGGAGGGGAGGGGAAAAAAGAGGAGGGGAGGAATGGGAGAGGAACCCATGTGTTGCTGGGGGGAGCAGAGAGCCCTGGAGAGGAGATGGATCTCTGGAGGGTGGGCAGGCATTTAGGGATGAAGACCCTGAATGAGCCACTTCTGGGGAGGGTGGGGAGGTCCCAGCTGTACCCTGAGGCAGAGGGCAACAGTTTCTGCATCTGGTGTTAAAAGCACAGGGCGGGAGTGTGGTCCCCACCACCTGCCCAAGCAGTATGAATGGGGAGGCTGTGACTTTGGGTCCTTGTTTGTGTCCAGCCTTAACCACTAATCATTGTCCCCTGGCATGAAGGCTGGCCCCCAGAAACCTAACATGGACAGGGCTTCCTGAAGTTTCTTCACTGATTTGCAACTTATTTGGAAAGAAACACTCAGGTCTAGAGAAGTGACCCTTATATGACCCTTTGTAGGTGACCCTGCCCTTATATCTGCCCTCCCTGTCGCTCCTGGGCAGAACTGTAAATGGCCTGTGACCACACATGTACTTCTTCCCATTCTGTCCTGTGCCCAGCAGGGCAGGGCCCCACAGGTTGTCTGGGTGGGGAGGGGACTCACAAATCCACGGCTGCTCTTGTACATGTTGTCCTTCAGGTAGCAGTGGCTGTCACTGGGGGTCACGCTTGTGCTCAGTTGCCTATTGCTGGCAAAGTGGAAGCTGTTGTCAGTGGCAAGCACCAGCAGCCGCATGACATGGTCACGCCAGCCAATTTCTTCCTGAGAAGAGATGCCAGGGATGGGGAGTTACCTGCCTCAGTGTCCCCTCTGGGTCTTCCCAGTGCCAGGTGGAGCAGCCTTCAGGCTGGCTCTGCTGCTCCCTTCCCTCCTGGATTTTCACAGCAGGAAGAGATAGGATCAAGACAGAGAATCGTCTAAGCTGACAATTCCTAGCATGGCTTGCAGGTGCATGAGGTGAGGTAATTTGAAAATCATGTCTGAATCTAAAAAGAGACGAATTCTTTGTAGCCCCCTATTTCAGACCTGGGAATAGATTCCAAAGAAATAATTCTTGGAAAAAAATACTACAGATATTCATCACAGTGCAGAACATTCCAAGTTCAAAGGAAGGGGCCTGAGGGACATCCCGCAGCGGGGCTGAGTCACCCCAGATGTGACTCAGATGTCCCTGCAGGATGCCCTCTTGCAGCACGTATGTAGAACACTGTGCTCTTACACATGTGGAAGGTGTGTCCACAGGGTGAGCACAGTGTGCCCAGGGCTCCAGGGAAGCTGCAGAGCTGAGAGCCAGGGCCAGGGTGGGAGCTTGTATGTGGCTAAGACCCTGTACGTACAACTACTTTAAAAAGACAGTCAGGGGCAGGTGCAGGCAAGGATATGGTGAGGAGGCATAGCTTGGCACAACCATCGCCCTGCTGGTCTGGAAAGGAGTGGCGATTCTGCTTTGGGAACCCCAGGCTTGGCTGCTCAGTGGCCTGGCTCGCACGGCCACTTGCACAGCGTTTAGAAATTGTGGGTGACTTTTGGAGCCCTGTTGCCATCCTCCCTCTGCCCCTCTCCTCCTCCCTTGCTCTCCTGCCCTGGGGGACTGGCAAGGGCTGCTCTTCTCAGGCCTACAGCGATGGGGTCAGGTGGGACCAGGTTGGGTCATCAGCTTGAGTCCTTAAGACCACCCAACCTACCAGCAGACCCAGTGCAGGCCTGCAGCACCTAGTGGGGCTCCTGAATGGGGGACATTGCAGACCTGAGCAGGAACAGTGGCCTCACCAGGCATGTGGCAACTTGCATCATGACATCCAGCTCACTCTCAGGGGTGTTCAGGTTTCTGGAAATCAGATACTTTCTGATCTCCAACTGAAACTGCTTGGCGTTGTCAGTCAGCTTCAGCACGTGCTGGAAGGTCTTGTTCATGATGTACCCAAAGCCTGAGGGACACATTTGAGACTGGGGAAGCTAGACAGGGAGGCGAGCCTGGGACACTAGGTCACGGCCTCAGTTTCTCTATCTCACGGAACAGCAAGGGAGAAAGCAAGATGGTGCATGTGGCTGTGTGTGTGTGTGTGTGTGTGTGTGTGTGCAGGTGTGTTGTACAAGCCCTGTGTACACATGAGAATGTGAGTAATTGTGTACACGTGTGATCATGATAGGTGCATGTGTGTTTCTGTACACATGTGAGCATGTCCAGGTGTGCTATGCCTGGTCCACATGTGTCATAGGTCTCTAGGTATGCATGTGTGGTCTTGTACATGTGTGGGTTTGACTGTGTGTGCACATGAGTGTATACACACATACAGTGTGTGAGCATGCATCCATGTGCTCGAGTGTGCAGGTGCACATCGCTGTACATGGAAAGGCAGAGTGATGTTCTGGGGAATGACATTACATGAGGGGTCCTTGTTCCTTTGCCCCTTACACACACGTCAAGACCCTTGACCTGTAGAGTTTGCTGTGATTATTTCTGCAATGCTCTGATTGCTATGTAGTTTAAATACATTTAAATACTCTTCCATTTTTAATAATTAGCACTAAAAGACTCTGTCTTTTAAACACATCAAAAGATAAATAAAAGACTCAAGAAGAGTCCTGGGGGCCAGTGACTGGACATGACCCTTGATGAGGGTGCATGCTGGACTCCAGCCACATGGACGCCCTGGGGAACACCATGTCTGGAGTCCCCCCAGTTCCCTGCCTCTGGTGTGTGAGTAGCAGAGGCTGCCCAGGATTGGGGGAAGGGCTGAGCCAGCTGGTCTGCAGTGGCCACAGGCCTCACCGATGTGGTTGAACTCGGTGATCTCATTGAGGGCCTGGAGCAGGTGGTCACCCAGCATCTTGTTGCTGCGCATGGGGTCCGAAAGGGCCATCAGGAAGTACACGTCAATGGGGTAGCCCTGGGTCCGCCGGAAGGTCACATTGAATGCAGCTGCCTGCTCTGTCATGGATGGATGGAAGACAGTGACTGGGCTTGGAGGTTTGTGCAGGGCATCTTAGGCATGTGTTCTGAGACAGCCTTGTCTGGTAGCCCCAAATCCCCTCACCTTTCTCCTTCACAGCTTACAGGGGCTGCATGGCAGATACAGGGTGCCCAGGTAGACTTGAATTCCAGGTAAAGAACAGACATTCTCCAGCACAATGTCCATTTGCTGTGGAATGAGTGTCTCCCAAGCTCATGCTGGAGTCCTTACCCCCAAGGCAATGATGTTAGGAGGTGGGGCCTATGGCAGGTGACTAGGTGGTGAGGGTGGAGGCCCCATCAGACCTGCCCTCTAGGGGTTACCTAGCCCAGGCTTTCGAGTTTGAGGTCAGAGGTGGAGGTCCCAGGGTCAAGGAGCTTGTGCCAGTTCGCAAGGCATTGAGGGCTGGCTCTGTCCCCCTGGGACACCAGCCCTGTACACAGTTGGATCTAGGACTTCCTCCCTGGGTACTCCCTCCTCTACTGCCTTCTCACCACCTCCCTTTGTCTGGACTGGCTCTCACCTGTCTTCGCCTGACCCACTTTACCCCAAGTCTAATGAGTGACCTCTGACCTGGGCTCCCTGAAGGACAGAGCCCCTGAGCACTGGGCTAAAAGACACCCAGTTACAAACTGGTGGGGGTGAGGTTGTGGAAAATCTCCCTGGGGGATAGAGAAAAGAAGGGTCTTGGCAAAGTTCAGACTTTAATTTTTACTTCTTATTACTATCAAAAAGTATATATGTATATATATATATGTTTATTTTTGCTCCTGGTCTCAAGCAACCCTGAATGACTCCTAGAATGACCGAGTTCAGCCATACATGGTGTCTGGCCTACCCCCAGCCAAGGCCAAGCCTACCTGGTCGCAGGTGAAGTGTTACATTTTGTGGGGACAGCTGCTTCTGGTCCCTCTGCCAGTCCTCTTTAGGTTCAGCCAGGCTCCTGGGGTCCACTATGTCACCAGCCTCACAGCCTTTCTTCAGCAGCTGCTCCCGGGTGTCGCAGCGAATGGAGTCAGACTTCCATTGTCCTGTGAAGTTCTGGGGTAGGGGGTCAGGGATCAAGAGGAGGCCACTGTGCAGGACCAATAGGACAAGCCTGGTCTTTCCTCATCTGCACTTGGAATTTGGGGAAGAAATGCCTATGGGGGATGGCTAGCTAGGGAAGAGCCCCCAGCCTCCCAGACAGCCTCTCCAAGGCTGTGCCCAGGTCACACCACAGGTATGGGGAACAGACCCTTCTCCATGCCTTGGCCACTGCAGCTAGCAGCAAGGACTTGGGGTCTATGATCCTCAGCCCAAAGGTTGATCCACAAGGGGCAGCACCTGCAGCCCCAGCACTGGGAGCAGCCTCCTCATCCAGCATCAACCTGAACCTTCAAGCCCTTCCTTTGAAGGACCTGAGTCCCTGGAAGTTGCATTCTCCCAAGAGAACCCTGGTGTACGTTCTTGGCCAGCATGGTAGCCCTCCCCGCAAGGAACCCCAGGAACCCCAGGACATAGATCAGAGCTCAGGGCAAAGCCTTCTGCACTTCAGAGGGAAACAGAAGCTGGCTGAAGGGACAGGGGGAGTCCTGGGCCTAGGGCACTTTGATCTTGACCACTTTGTTCCCCCAGAGGCTATCTGGATCTGACAAAGGCCTTATTGATCCTGACACTGGGCCAGAGCTGCTGCACTCAAGGCAGGTGGGGCTAAAAATGTGAAGTGCTGAGAAGGGCAGAGGACACAAAAGGAACCAGGTAGAATAGCCCAGAAACGCACGAGGTGGGTCAGAGTCAGACCCAGCCGTGTGTGTGTGTGGTGTGTGTGTGTGTGTGTGTGTGTGTGTGTGTGTGTATGTGTGTGTGTGGAGAGAGAGAGAGAGAGAGAGAGAGAGAGAGAGAGAGAGAGAGAGAGACTCTGTTGTTTTGACTTTCAGAACAGTATTGATGAGTAAAGTACACAAGAAGCAAAGCTGTCAGCAAGAATGGAAAGAGGAGGAAACCTAATATGCAATCCAGGCTGTAACAGTTGGATTTACTTTAAATGGGCAGACTGACTTCATGAAAGGGAGGGAAAGTTGACCTCCCCAAGGACAGAAGGACACTTAATTAAGCCCAGAGCCTGGCCACAGTCCTTCATCAAAGGAAAGAGTTAAAGAGCACACTGGCTTCTCTTCTGTGGGCCTGCTGTTTGCCATGGTGAGTGCTGGTGGTGACTCTGCAGCCTCACTGTGCATCATGGGATTGAGAAAATGAGGAGAGATGCTGAGGGATGCCCGGAGCCTGGCTCCTCAGAAGGAGCTGGGAGCCTCTGAGAAATGCCATGTTTTAGGGCAAGGCAGGGTAGTATGGACAGGCCTGGGCATCCCATATCCCAGAAAGTAAGAAAGTGCTCAAAAAAACAGAACACACAAAATGAAATGATGAAGGCATACAGATGGCACAGGGGGCCGGCTTAGAGAGTCCCAGAGCCAGATCTGGGACAATTGAAGATATGAGGATACAATTGAAGATATTCACAGAGAATAAAATTAAAATGTATGGACTCATGAGAGGGAGAGAGAGAGAGGGAGAGAGAGAGAGAGAGAGAGAGAGAGAGAGAGAGAGAGAGAACTCTTTTTTACATTAGAGGGAGTTAAGGAACCAGAACCTAGAAGACCAAGTTAGCAGGTGTAATTGGTGGGAACAGGACATCCGCCAGCCTTACAGTACTTCCCCACTGATTAGCTTAGTCCCTAATTGCAAAGGGGAGGCAGGGACATTATGTACCTGACACCATTGGTCACTCTCACCAGAGCACGCTGGAATGGAATCAGCGGAGACACATGGCACAGGACTGGCTGAGGAACCTCCTACACTGATGTGCTCAATATCCAGAAATGCCAAGGACATGGAAGACAGCACGGGGGACTGTCCCTGATTCAGGAGACTAAAGAGCCCTGGCATCTGAATGTGAGCTATAGTCCCGGGTTAGGAAATCACCAGGAAGAAAATGATATCAAAGACATGATTGGAACAATTGCTCTTCCAATCACAATAGTTGCCAGTGTTACATTTCCTGAGTTTGCCAAGTGTATCTATCAACTGTGGATATGCACTCGTTGATCGAAATACATTCAAGTGTATTTCTTCTACCAACCCTTGAAGAAACAAGGGACAAAGGCTTCCTGTCTGCCGCTGCTCTGAGTGGCTGAGAAGAGAGAACAAGGCGTGTTTCTGCAGGGTCAGGCCATTGGCGATGGGGACCTGGGGCCCCAGGAGAGGAGCTCTCTGCAAGAGAACAGTGTGCTGCACCAGCAGGCTGCGGCTGTGCCTGGCTCTGGGGCCTTCACCTTTTCCCTCCTGAGGCATTACAAGTAAAGCACAGATGGTAACTGGGAGAGAGGGGTCCAGGTACCAAGTGGGAAACTGCTCTGTACTTTCTCCATGTTCTGGAAGCTGAACTGTCCCTCCTTCCCGAGGCACCTGGTGCCATTCAGAGCACCACTGGACATGTATTTGCTTCCTTCCAGAAGCTTCTCTCCTGACTTACTCCTGCCTCCAGGACTGGGGATAGCTTAGGGGCAGCCTGCCTTTGACTGACTGTCTGTCTCTGTTTCTCTCAGATGATCTCCTCTGTGGTTCTCCTACCCCCAAGAGGGAATGGAGCTGGTGACTCTCCTGTGTCCCTGGCATCACAGGCAGGGGGAAGACCCAGCCCAGGAAGATGGGAAGGGCAGCTCAGATCTGAGGAACCTCAGGCAACCATAGCGTCCACCCAGCTCTTACCAGCTTCTGACACCAGGCACAGCTGGGCCCCGACTGGATGCAGTCCTGGCAGGTGCTGACCTTGCCCTTGGTGCATTCTTGAGGCTGAGCTGGGGAGACAGACAGGCTGGGTGAGTGGTCCCTGCCCTGCCCTGGCTGCCCTCCAGGGTGAGTGGAGGAGGCCAGGGAAGGGGCTTTGAGTCACCCCACATGGGGTTCAGGGTAGACCCCTGGAAGATGTCAGGGCCACTGCTTCTTGCTGTGTGGGTGACTGAGGTCATGTTTGGGTTTTTTCTCAGCCACCTGGAACTGGCACCCAGTCAGCCACCAAGTGGGCTTGTCATCCTGACCCAGACCACCAGGCACTGAGCTGAGCCACAGAACTCACCTGACCTCAGTAGAGCAGCTGCACCAGGACCAACAGCAGGGGGCGCCAGTGCAGCATGTCCTGCAGAGGGAGGGGCTTGGTGACTGTTGACTACACAGCCTCTTCTGACTGCTTTAGGGATGCAGGGCTGGAAAGCCTGTGTCTGCTGCTGCAGGGTGTGAGGATCAGGTGAAGCCAACACAGTCAATCACCCAGGGCCCCCAGACTCAGGGAAGGAGGGAAAGAGACTCAAGAGGGTGGTTGCACACATGTTCAGGTGTGCAGAACAGACAAAAGGCCCACGGCAGGGGCCCCTGCGTATGCAAACCCCAGATACAGCATACCGCACACACAATGCATGCACAACACACAGCACACACACTCCACATACAAAGCATACACACCACACATTTGCACACACAGCACAGCACAGGCACACACACCCATACCTCACAAGTATCACACCACACACCATGCACACAATGTACATACAACACACACTGAAATCATGCACACACACACACACACCACACATTCACACACACAGCACACACATCACTCACACACACATTACAACATACATGAACACTCTGCCAAGGCCAGGACCACAGACATCCTGTGGCCAAGTAAGTCCTCAAAGTGCGGAAGGGTAGTTGTGGACAGAGGCACCATTAGGCTGGGGGTCCCAGCAGGTGGGTGGTAGGGACTAGAAAACCTTGAGTCCCCATGGGAGAGCCAGAGCTGTGTTGGAAGCCTGGCCAGGAGCTGCCCCGGGGCTTGCTGTCTGTTCTTTGAGGGTTCAACCTACCCCATACCTAAAAGCCTGGGTGTCAACAGAAATGGTGCCTCAGCCATTACTCATAGTCCTGGAGCTCCCAGGGGCCCTGAAGCTGACTGGACCCAGCTAGCTCTGGACAAGGACCTGGAAGCACAGCTTTCTGTTTCCTCTGTGGCCACACTCCAGACTCTTTCACCCCAATCCTCAAACATTAGTGACAGTCACAAAATCCTTGGACCCCAGAATAGTAAAACTAAGACCCTGAACAACACCTGTGCATCCCCACTGCCCAGAGAAGGGCAGCAAGACCAACCCACAAACTGCACTGCTCTGACCTTGGCCACAGGAAGCCGGCAAGGTAAGGAGGGAGAGCCACCTCCCCTCCCTGCCATGTTGCCCCTTGCTTCTGGAGCACTGAGACAGCCATAGCTTGGCCCTGGGGAGGCTCAATGTGAGGGGCTGATCAGAGGAGGAGTTCCCTCAACAATGGTTAAGGTGCAAAGCCTTAAGGAGGCCCCTTGAGAAATGTCAGGCCCCCCCAGTCTCTCAGAACTCTGTATCAGAGCCAGCTTCCTGTCAATAAAGTGCTGGCGCAACCCAGCACAACCTCAGGAAGTGACAAAGCTCAACAAATCCCCTGCAGCCGGCCAGGTGGACCTTCCCTGGAGAACCCCCTGGGCCAGAGTGCCCTCTTCTCTCCTGGCACCAAGTGAACACAGCTAACAAGAACCTTATCTCATAACCAGTAAAGCTCTGGACATTTAGGTTCCAAGACACATGGATAGCATTAGAAGAAAAATGGGTTGGTAGTTTGTAAATCACACACGTTCCCATGAAAAATAGAATTCACATGGTAAAAGAGGAAATGGGGAAACAAGAAAGAAAGAACAATTTGAGTAAGACAGAAAAGGGAAGGTAAACTGTAGGTGCTAGGACAACAAGTGACATGGGCCAGGCTTCCTGTTACAAAGTTTTACAAAGTTGCAAAACTCTATGATGAGGCTGCTTGAGAAACCAGAAGCTCCATGGGCCATCAGAACTCTGTGTCAGAGCCTGGCCTACCTGTATCAGACAGCAAAGCCCACCTTTGACTATGTCACCTGAGGAGCAGGTAAAATGCTGGAGGTATCACAATACCTGACTTCAAACTATATTACAAAGCAATAACAATAAAAACAGCATGGTACTGGCACAAAAACAGACATGAAGATCAGTGGAACAGAATAGAGGGCCCAGATATGAAGCCACACAACTATAACCAACTTGTCTTTGACAAAGGCGCTAAAAATATATGATGGAGAAAAGACAGCCTCTTCAACAAAAACTGCTGGGAAAACTGGTTAGCAGTCTGCAAAAAACTGAAACTAGATCCATGTATATCACCCTAGACCAAGATTAACTCAAAATGGATCAAGGATTTTAATATCAGACCATAAACTCTAAAGTTGGTACAGAAAAGAGTAGGAAATACTCTGGAGTTAGTAGGTATAGGTAAGAACTTTTTCAATGGAACCCCAGCAGCACAGCAACTAAGAGATAGCATAGATAAATGGGACTTCATAAAACTAAAAAGCTTGTGCTCAACAAGAGAAATGGTCTGTAAACTGAAGAGAACACCCACAGAGTGGGAGAAAATATTTGCCAGCTATACATCAGACAAAGGACTGATAACCAGAATATATAGGGAACTTAAAAAACTAAATTCTCCCAAAACTAATGAACCAATAAAGAAATGGGCAAGTGAACTAAACAGAACTTTCTCAAAAGAAGAAATTCAAATGGTCAAAAAACACACGAAAAAATGCTCACCATCTCTAGCAATAAAGGAAATGCAAATTAAAACCACGCTAAGATTCCACCTCACCCCTGTTAGAATAGCCATCATCAGCAACACCACCACCAACAGGTGTTGGCGAGGATGCAGGGGAAAAAGGAACCCTCTTACACTGCTGGTGGGAATGTAAACTAGTACAACCACTCTGGAAAAAAATTTGGAGGCTACTTAAAAAGCTAAACATAGATCTACCATATGATCCAGCAATACCACTCTTGGGGATATACCCAAAAGACTGTGACACAGGTTACTCCAGAGGCACCTGCACACCCATGTTTATTGCAGCACTATTCACAATAGCCAAGTTATGGAAACAGCCAAGATGCCCCACCACTGACGAATGGATTAAGAAAATGTGGTATTTATATACAATGGAATTTTATGCAGCCATGAAGAAGAATGAAATGTTATCATTTGCTGGTAAATGGATGGAATTGGAGCACATCATTCTGAGTGAGGTTAGCCTGTCCCCAAAGACCAAAAATCGTATGTTCTCCCTCATATGTGGATATTAGATCAAGGGCAAACACAACAAGGGGACTGGACTTTGAGCACATGATAAAAGTGAGAGCACACAAGGGAGGGGTGAGGATAGGTAAGACACCTAAAAAAAATTAGCTAGCATTTGTTGCCCTTAGCACAGTGAAACTAAAGCAGATACCTTAAAGCAACTGAGGCCAATAGGAGAAGGGGACCAGGAACTAGAGAAAAGGTTAGATCAAAAAGAATTAATCTAGAAGGTAACACCCACACACAGGAAATCAATGTGAGTCAATGCCCTGTATAGCTATCCTTATCTCAACCAGCAAAAACCCTTGTTCCTCCCTATTATTGCTTATACTCTGTACAACAAAATTAGAAATAAGGGCAAAATAGTTTCTGCCAGGTATTGAGGGGGTGGGGGGAGAGGGGGGGGAGTGGGTGGTAAGGGAGGGGGTGGGGGCAGGGGGGAGAAATGACCCAAGCCTTGTATGCACATATGAATAAAAAAAAAACACACGTGAAGGTGACTGGGGTGGAGGTTGGAGAGAAGGGGAAGCAGAGACCCTCTCCAAGGCTGTCTCAGGCAGAAAAAAGTAAACATTTATGGTCATCATAAAATAGGCTTCAAACTTTTTAAGTCAAGAGTCTAGTGTCAAGAAGTAGTCATTTCTGCCTTGCACACACACGCGTGTGCGCACACGCACACACGGACACACACACACAGAATCAGAGAGCAGCTGGATTCCAGGGGGCTGCAGCACTGTTCCCAGATCACAGAGATCCAGACAGACCCAGGGGACAAGAAGGCCACCGGGAACAAAGGGAGCAGGAGGTCTGCGGAGAACTCAGTCTATGCGTCCTGTAGCCCACCAAGCAAAATTTCCCAGGTGACTATGAGACATGTTCATGCCACTTATTTAGTATCGGTGACTTCCAACATCAGAACTATTAAGAGCCACAGTTTCACATCAGATGGAATAAAATGAGACCCTCCCATATTAATTTACAATTTAAAAACACTCCAGTAAATACCTCTCAAGTCAAAGGGAACTCAGATTTGTTTTCATGGAGACTTTAAGAGATAGCCTGTTCTCCATCTAGTAAGATACAAAACCTCTACATCTTGTTGGAAGAGTGCAGCCCCGGGCCCTGAGTGCTTTTGTTGTGGACACAAAAGGCTGACAATGTGTGTAAAATAACTCATGCCTATAATCCCAGCTACTCAGGAGGCAGAGATCAGGAAGATCATGGTTCGAAGCCAGCCTGGCAAATAGTTCGCAAGACCCTGTCTCAAAAAAACCCATCACAGAAACAGGGCTAGTGGAATGGCTCACAGTGAAGGCCCTGAATTAAAGTCCCAGTACTGCAAAGAAAAAGATTAGTTTTAGAAAATAAAACTAAAAGAAACAGCATGACATGTAACTCAGAGCAAGGAAACTTAAGCATAAAAACTAAGGAAATTATTCTGCTTTATGGAGAATATAGACTAAAAGCAATAAATTCTGTGCATACTATATCACATAAAGGAAACTAATACCTTTCTAGTGCAAAACATGCACCTTGAAGAGATTTTATATATTAGCAACAAAAGACAAGACTGCAGACTCTGAGCCTTGGTAATTAATCTACAAAAGTAGCAATGTAACTGGGCAGTAAACACGTGGGAAAGTCACCAGTGCTCACACAGGAACATCCAGCAAAACCAGGTTTATTGTGTAGCTATCAAATTAGAAATTTCAATATTTATGACTCCGACATGCATGGCAGATCCTACACATCAACAGTAATGTCATGTATGAACGACTGCTCAGAGATCAATTTCCTGGTGAAAAGTGAACATTTGGAAGCAAAGTATCAGAATATTCCAAGTTTCTCTCAGTGGGACATCACTGGTATTTTCAGTTTCCATCAGAATCCCTGTTGTATTTTCTAGGTTTCTGCAGTAAATAGTGACAAAGTAAAAGCTCTGAACTCTGTAGTTGCTGAAGCACTATCTGAAATTGCTTCTCCAGGTTCCAAAAAACTCCTTGCTGTTTCTGTTCCTATAGGTGACGTTCCTGAGATCAGTTACATCCTGACAGTGGGAAGAGCCTGAGACAGGGGCTTCAGGGACAGCCTGCTGGGCACCTGCTCATAAATCCCTCCTCCCTCCCTCCCTCCCTCCCTCTCTTCCTTCATTCATCTAGCAAGTACTTGCTGGTCTCTTCTGGGGCACAGCCCAGGGACATCTGGACCACATTTAGAGATTTTTGGGCTGTGCCTCTGTTGGGACCAGCCACCCATCCTCTTCATTTCCATCGAGTTTCCATCACACTCCAAAAGCTCCAAGTTCCTATCACTCCTTACGCCACTGCATGGCACAATTGATGCCATTTAAAAATCACGTGGGCAGGGTGCCATTCCTGTGGAGCTGGCTCTCTGTGTCCTCGCAGCCCTGAGCACCGAGAGAACCTGGCCTACAGCTGTATGACAGGACCCTGTCCCCAGAAGCCTCTAGAGCAGCAGAATTGCACTACTTGGGCATGGTATCTTATACTGGCGAGGTCTGAGTGTCTAGGAGGCCCAGGCCTGGGGGGTCAGGGCCAGCACCAGGAAGTAGGCAGTGGCCCCACAGAAACAGGACAGAGTATCACCCACAGGGTCCACCTGCCAGCCTGACTACACTTTGCCCACACAGCCTCAAATATGCCTTCATCTTCCCTGGGGGCCATGCCTGCTCCCAATTCTATGTGGGGGGTATGGTTCAGAGAGGTTCAGCCCACTGCCCACTCCACCAGCCTGGACAGAGCTGGGACCAGAGCTCCCATCAGCCTGACTCCAGGGCCAATGCTCTCAGACCTCCATCCAGCTGCCAAGTGACTGGACAGGTCACTTCAGCAGAGTAGACCTAACCTCCAGAAATCCTGATGGGCCCAGGCCAAGCCAGCCAACCCCGGGTCACTTGCCCTGATAAAGGCACCTGCCCCCAGGAGGTGAGGTGGCCACAGGAGCATTGGCCCATGTATGACATCTTGTCTTATGGCCTTGCTCAGGATGGGGTCTGCAGTGTGCACTGGACCTGGGAACATAGGATGAGCTAAGCCACACGCACACCACACACCCATATCAGACACACACATACATGTACATACATGCATACTCTCACATAAACAGGCACACACACACATACACAATCACATGTAGACATGCATACAGACCACATGGATATACACATTCACACACACACACGGTTTGCTCTGGAAGAGAAAACCTTGGGCTTGGGGCATTCCAGGGCTGGGATCACATGGGGCTTTCCCTGGGGGAAAGCCACCGTGGACACAGGGAACTTGCACTTACTTTACTTGGTTTCCTGAGGACCTTGGCTCTGTGTGTCAGGCTTTGCTTGCTCCTTGCCAGACTAGCTCTGTGGTCACATCTGGAGGGAGCAGCTGAGCCTGATGTTCAGCCCTTCAGGGGAAGTAGAGTGACATGTGACTGGTTGTTTCATTACTGGGCCCTCATCCCCTCTGCTCTACACCTGCTCCGGAAAAGGGACGTCACAGAACAGCCACCGAGATGGGGTGGAACCTGCTGTTGATGACATCCTTTCATGGTGAGAAGTGGATCAGTGTGAGATGAGGGGTAACTGTTGGGGACAGTCATCTCTGGTGGCACTGATGGCCTCCCCAGCACAGGAAGGAAGGGTGGAAACCCAGGGGAGAGCAGGCAGGTGCTGATTCTGGTGGATTTGTGTTCTGGGAGAGGGACCCAGCCTTTGGATGAGCACTGGACAGAGGACACCAACTCATTCATGAAGGGGGAAACAGCGCTGAGAGCGAGCATGTGGATGACGCAAAGAAAACAGCTAAACTCCCTGCCAGTGAGCAGAGGGAGGGAGTGCAGGGAGCAGGGTACCTGTGGGCAGAGCTGAGATGGTGGCTGAGGAGGGCAGCGAGGGGGACAAGAAAGAAATCTAGGTGCATGGACGTGACAGGTGACAGCCCCACCCAGCACAGGAGTCCCAGGGATGAGCAAATAATGTCCAGTAACTAAGAACCTAAGCACAGAGAGATGATGGAGATGGAGTTAGAGATAGAGAGACAGCTAGAGATGAGAGAGGAGAGAGAGAGAAAGAGAGAAAGAGGAAGAGGAGGAGGAGGAGGAGGAAGAGACATGCTGTGTCATTTCATTTTGAGAAGGGCATAGGTATTCATCAATGGGCAATCTGATAAAAAATTTACATTTAAGCATGTGCAATAACTTAGAGTCTCTTTGAATATAAATAGGATGCATACACTTGATAAAAAGAAAAATATGACAAGCCTTAAAAATAAAGAGAAAACATAAAAAATAAGAAATGTGCATAAAACACACAACAGAACACCAAGAATGAGTTCAAACACACCAGGAGTCACAACCTCTGTGAATGGTTACCTCCCCGTCTTTGAATCAGCAAATTCTTGCTTTGGGTTTTAAAACTAAGGAGACAAAGCAAGTTCCAGTTAAATGCTCTCTGTTGGGGCTCTTCTTGTTATAGACTTATTCTAGAACATAAGGAAGAAAAAGGACAGAGTGAGAAGGTAACTGTTGGGGACAGTCATCTCTGGTGACCTTGCAGACCAAGCAGTATCATTATTCACACCACAGGCACAGACACTGAGCAAGCAGTCTTGGTGAAATAACGGTAAAATTAAGAAAATAAAATATTTCCATTGAACCTGAATCTGATCAAGTCTTTAGATCTGCCAGTTTACAGGAAGACAGGGGAGGACCTACTAAATGACATAGGAGGGTGGAATCTGCAAAGTGCATGCTAGAGAAAATCCTACAAGACAAACTGCAAGATTGAGGCAAGAGGAGATACATGGATGGGAACCCATGGACTAAGAAATATTGATCATTGGACCATGCCAAAAAGCTACTGTTCAGTTTTTGGTGTGAAAATGGTTTTGTGTTTACGTTAGAATCCTCTTCTTCAGAGATACATGCTGAAATATCTACAGCTGACATTTTATGATGTTTTAGATTTACTTCCAAATGATCAAGGTTAAGTTGAATTGGGGGGAGAGGAGGAGAAATACAGTTCCCTACAGTTCCCCTCCCTATCCACAGGGAAGTGATTCCAGGAGCCCTTCAGGTTCCAAACTCTGCAGATGCTCAAGTCCCTTACACATTTGCATGGAGCCTACGCACATCCCTCTGTACACTTTAACTCAGAGGGATGACTTAGAATGCCGAATACAATGTAAATGCTATTTAAATATTTGCTTTACTGTATTATTAAGGTAATAATAACCAAAATCAATGTGTGCACATTTCAGTATACATAGTACATAGATGCAATCACGACAGGCTTAACTTACGTCAGGGGCGACAGTGTTTTTCATCTGCCAGTTGGTTGCATCCATAGACACAGAATCTGCACACATGGAGGGCTGACTGTATACACAAAGCAACGTGTCCTAATTATTGAAGCCATGAAGATTCGTTAAGCTGTTCTCTGTACTTTTGTGTATGTGTGGAATGTCCTCTAGTAAAAATTTTAAAACAACTTTTAATAGAAGTATACGGCTGTTGTTTAGTGCATATGGTTTTGGTGTTTTTGCAAGGCAGAAAGTTGTGGAGATGAACGATGGTGATGGCTGCACAACAGTGTGAGTGACATTGATGACATTTAAATGGCTAAAATGGTAAATGCCATACACATTTTTTCATGATTAAAAAGAAAAATGTCTGAGACAGGCTGTGTGTTAGATGAACTGTTAAAAGAGAATAACATGGGAGGCTAAAATAAAGGAGTGGAAAATACAAATACTGTGCTAGAAGATACTAACAAATATAACAAAATAATGTCAAAAAGATGATTTTATAAAGGAATCAGGAAGGAGTGGCAGCAAACAAAGGGAAACCACAATCCACAAAGAAAGTACATCTTCAGGTACTTAACAAAACAGCTTCAAAATACATAAAACAAAAACTGATGGCTATGTAAGAAAACTGACCGAGCCACAGCCAGAGAAAACATCTTTAATTGAGGTCTTAGAATCAGATTGTTAAAGGGAATGCAAAGGAGTCATGTGGGGAGCGTGAGTACAAAGTAATGCTAAATGTGGGACAGTAATAAATAGAGCATTTATTACACCACAAAGGAAATCTCAGTGCAGTGTAAAGCACAAACATAGTAAAGGAGCTAAATGCATGAGCATAATTTAATAAAATTAGATGTTGACTGAAGGATCGCATAGGGTGAAAAAATACCCGGTGTCACATTCATTCAATAACTAATAAGTACCACTGAAAATGCTGATCTGGATGCATTCACACGATATATCTCAAAACCATAACATCGGGATTCTTCTGAAAAGAACTCACAGGAGGAGGTTTCCTGACTCTACACCTGCAGAGTTGGGAGCACCAGGGTCAATGGTTGTTACCTGTAAAAATAGAGAAGGTCATGGATCTGTGAGGTGGCTGCAGAGGACTTCGATTTTATATTTCATGAAATAATACGAAGAGCTATAAAGTTTTGTTTATTAAAAAGACAGAAAAAAGTTCTGTGCAAAGAAAGGCAAAATTTTGAGATTTGACAAAATAGGATGGTATGGGTAATTGCATTCCCCACACTTTTTTGTTGAAATATTTTATTTTTTATAAAGGGATCAGGAAGGAGTGGCAGCAAACACCAGGAGGATCTCTTGGGGTTCTGGATATATTCTAACATTGGTTTGTGATAATCACATAACTGAATTTTACTAAAAATAATTGAATTGTGCACTGAAAATGAGAGAGTACTAGCATATAAATTCTGCCCTCATGATGCTGCTAAAAATGAAATGAAATTAAAAGTATTTAGAGAAAGAAAGCACCAGCAACTTTTTGTCCCAACTGAGTTAGAGAAAGCATGGGCTGCTCACTCTCTGTCACTGATCACACTCGCCAGCTCCAAATAGGATAATAGACAGACTGAGGGAAATGAAAGCTTGAGGAAGAACTGGAACCATGGTGTGATCCTGTGTTTTTGCCTCCTCTATCTCCTAGTTTAGATTTAAGGCAGCCCAAACCTCAGTTCAGTGCTGTGAACGTGGCCAAGAGAATCATTCTTTCTGGTCATTGGGCTGGGAAGGGAGACTCCTGAAGGTGGAGAACATGGGGAGATGCTCTGTCTTGTTTTCTTTCTACTGGCCCTGCCCCACGGCAATCTCCTGTCCCAAAGCTGCACTCTAAGGTGGTGTCAGCAGCAGTGAAAGGAACAGAAGAGTCTGCAAGAGTCGCTTTCACCCAGAAGTCACAAGAATCATGAGCGTACAAGGATATAACCCTACTCTACAGCTAGAGGACCAGGAAAAGGGGTCCCGGAAGCAGGAGAGTATGAGGCAAATCAACAAGAGGTCAAGAGAGGGAACCCATGAGGATTTGTGAGTTGGATCCAAATACACTATAAAGACCTTGAAAACTGAACTCACAGCCCACAAGAGATTGTTCTGAACTTGTCAGAAACTAACCAGACTGATTTTCATTTAAAAACATAGATCATCCAGGCAGGGTGGTACATGCTTGTATCCCACTTACTCAGGAAGTTGAGGCAAGAGTATTAAAACTTCAAGGACAGACTGAGCAATTTAGCAAGACCTTGTCTCAAAAATTTTAAAAAACTAAATAAAAAGAGCTAGAAAAATAGCTCAGTGGTACAGCACTTTTCTAGCATGTGGGAAACCCTAGTACTGACAAAACCCAAAACTTAGAAAGAAAGATTAATGTTGTCCAGATGATTCTTATAGACTTCAGTCTTGTAAAACAATATTTGACATGACCAGGAGACAATCCAAAGTATTCAAACAGCACAAAGAAAATCCTAAGAACCTTTTCAATGGAAGAATGATTAGCATACACCAACTCTGAATCGATCCAAATGTTGAAATGATTGCACAGTGTGTTTAAATCAACTATTATAAACATGTTTCATAAAATAATGACACTCTTGAAACATTCAAAGGTAAAATTCTCAACAGAGATTTGGAAGCTATGAAAAAGAACCATATAAATATTAAAAATTAAAAACACAGTAACAGTAATGAAAAATTCACCAAATGGATTCAATAGGAGAATGGTGAAGACACAGAAAGAATAGTAGTGAATTTGAAGATCAGTAGAAATTATTTGATATTAGAGAGTGAGAAAAAGACTGATGGAAAAGGACAGAGTCTTATGCACCTGTGGAATGATATCAAGGGGCATAACGTCAGTGCCATTGGAGTCCCAGAAGGAGAGGAGTAAAAGGTTGGCACAAAAAAAGTTTTTGAAAAAATAATGGCTGAAACTTCCCAAATGTGGTGAAAAATACAACTGTACAGATTCAAGAAGTCCTATGAACTTTATGAAGGATAAACTCAAAGAAAGCCCAGCTTATATACATCATACTCAAAGTGATGGGAACCAAAGATAAAGAAAAATGCTTTAAAATC